ACTGGCCCACGTGTGCACAAACCTCCCCCAGCCCCCCAGCTGCCCCCTCCGTGCTGATTTAAGTATCCGCACGGAGGGGGCAAGTTGGGAATTAGATATATAGATATGGAGCAGAGGTCCATCAGTGGCTATTAGCCACAAGGTATAGATAGGGGCTCTGGGGCAAGCGATGCTCTGTCTTCTTGGTGCTTGGGGGGGTCAACAGTGGGAGGGCTTCTAATGTCCTGGACCCACTGGTGGACCTCCTGATGGCACGTGGTATTTCTGGCCACTGTGTGATACAGAGTGTTGGACTGGATGGGCCTTTGGCCTGATCCAACATTGGCAGCTCTTATGTTAACTTGCTGAATCGGGGAGTGGAACTCTTGACGGTGGGCCGGGCTGGCGACTCGGGGCAGAACGTTCTCAATGGATCGCGCTCCCTCTCTGAAGGGGCAAATGCAGTCTGGAGTTACTCCTTGCCCAGGAAGCGCTCCTAGATTCTTGAGGAGGCAGCCACGATTGGCCAGGAGTATCTTTCACTGGCTTAGAACACCAAGCTATCTGGATTGCCTATGCCAGGGGTCCCCATAGTGCCCACCAACACTTTTCTGCTGCCTGCCAGTTTGGTGTGGTGGTTAGGAGCGCGGACTCTAATCTGGGAGAACCGGGTTTGATTCCCCACTCCGCCATGTGCAGCTGCTGGTGTGCCCTTGGGTCAGTCACAAGTTCTCTCAGGAGCAGTCCTTGTTGAGAGAGCTCTCTCAGCCCCACCGACCTCACACAGGGTGTCTGTTGTGGGGAGAGGGAAGGAAAGGAGATTGTAATCTGCTCTGAGACTCTGTAAGCTGCTCTGAGACTCTGAGTGAAGGGCGAGGTATAAAATCCAGGGCTATTTTGGGCAGGAACGCACAGGAACAGAGTTCCGGCTGGCTCCCGAGTTGGCCACGCCCAGCAGGAACTCATTAGCATAATAGGCCACACCCAACAGCAGGAACTCATTAGGATTGGCTACATTAGGGATGTGTGGCCTAACATGCAAAGGAGTTCCTGCTACAAAAAAGCCCAGGGTTTGGACAACAAACAAGGTAAACAGAATAAGAAGCAAAAGGTGGGTGTGGCTGGATGGGCACACTTCTGGTAACATGGGGGTGCGGCCTAATGTGCCAATGAGCTGAGTCAGTCACAAGTTCTCTCGGTGCTCTCCTCTCAAGAGCAGTCCTCGAAAGAGCTCTCTCAGCCCCACCTACCTCCCAGGCAATGCTCCCTCTAAGCTGTGGAGTCTTGTAAGCAAAAATTCTACTTTGGGAGCTATTAGCATTAAAAGTGTGAGTGAGTGATTTGGCTACTGCATAAATCAGTTTGCTCTGGAGCCATCCTTCCTGAGCTAGGACAAAAATCTGTGAGCTGGAGGCTAAAGAGCTGTGAGGCAGCTCACACTAACTCAGCTTAGAGGGAACACTGCTCCCAGGGTGTCTGTTGTAGGGAGGGGAAGGGAAAGGGATTGTAAGCCACTCTGAGACTCCTTCGGGTAGTGAAGAGAGCTCTCTCGAGAACTGCCCTTGAGAGAACAGCTCTGAAAGAACTTGTGACTGACCCAAGGTCACACCAGCAGCTGCATGTGGTATAAATCCAATCTCTTTTTCTTCTTCTTTTATGAAATAGATGAAGCCCAGTAGGGCTTGTTGCCCGGTAAGGCTTCTGATTGGCTGTGCAAAGTTTTTTTAAAAACATTGCTTTGCCAGCAGCTGCTGCCGCCGGAACACAAGAATCTTCACTGTGCAACTGAAGGCAAGCTGTGGCAATCATTCTGTGGCTGGCTCCAGCTCCCGTGGCAGCCATTTTGTTGCTGCGCCCACTAGGCCGTGTCGGAATTCCAAATGCGCCCATAGGCTCCAACAGGTTGGGGACCTCTGGCCAAAGCCTTCAGCACAGGAACATGGACATCTCCCTCTAAGCACTGCTAACTTCCAGTGTATACTTCCACTATAACATGGGCATACCATTGAAAACGGTTTGGAAGTTGCAGCTGGCACAAGAGCAGTTATTTATCAAGGCTGGTTCTGGAATCTCCCCGGAGAGCCATTCCTCCCATATGAGCCTCCCAGCTCTTTACGACCTGCCAGACAGGGCTTCCTTTAGTTCCTTCTCTGTGGGACACAAAATCCGGCAGGGCCTGCTTTGTGATGGCACTGCAACCTGGGAATCGGCTTTAGGGGAAAAGCTGCCCCAGCCGACCGACTGAGTAGTCATTCAGACCGTTTCGCTTTTATGCGTCTTTTACACAACTGCAATTCCTGTGCAATTTTTGCGGACAGTTTTACTGTTTGGTTCATTTTGTTTTAATTTGCAAAGGCATGCTTCGACGGGAAGGCAAGGACTATTACAGCCATCTTGCCCCAATTCAAGCCAAATCGAGAGACTCTGACCGCCGGATCGGATAAGGTCTAATGCAGGGGTGGCCAGACTCCCTTAATGTAACAGCCACACAGAATAAATGTCAGATGTTTGAGAGCCACAAGACATGAACAAATATTATACACACATTTTTATTGGAAAATATGCACATTTGCTTCTTATCAGGGGTCATTTCCTGCAGGAGCGCACAGGAGCGGAGCTCCGGCAGTAAAGAGCCCAGGGGGTGGACACATGCAAAAAGCCCCACCCCCTGCTCCCAGCAGCCCTCAATCAGAGCAAGAAGCAGCCAGGTAAGCTGCAGAGCTCCCCCTGGCCCCCCAGTCCAAAACAGTCCAGTGGCACCTTTAAGACCAAGTTTTATTCAGGTACAAGCTCTCCCTCCTCTGTGACGGCAGATCTGCACGTCTCCCCCCCCATAGCTAGCAATCCAAAACAGTGATGTCAGGGGGTGTGGCATATGCAAATGAGTTATGCTACTGAGTTATGCTAATGAGCTCCTGCACCTCTTTTTCTATGAAATGACCCCTGCTTCTTATTAACATTTAATTAGGCTGTGCGAAAGAGCTGCATGTGGCTCCTGAGAGGCAGTTTGGCCACCCCTGGTCTAATGGATCTCAAGGCAGAGACCGATTGGTTAATCAGATTTAAGAGGAACCAGCCTGCAATGCAAGGCATGCGTGTAAGGGCATCGGCAACCGTACCTTTGCTTTCTGGAAAAATTTGTGTCTTAGGAGTTCAGCCGCTGTGGGTCTAGAAGGGAAAAGAAAGAGAAGGAAGACAATTGAGAGAGCCGTTTCTAAAGAACTTTCTGCTTTCCTTCCTATAGCAAAACAAACTATGTTGTAGGAATCTTTAAATAGCTTGGCCCATCTCTGTTGGAAGAGTCATGAGATAAGAATTTGGCGCAGTAGAGAGACCGCCGTTTCCTGCAGATGTGTACGTTTCAATCCACATGTCAGCTGTACGACGGGATCTCCCAAGACGGTGCTTTTTGTACCCAAGGATCTCATAAAGGGACAGCTACGCAACAGGACTGCCTAACTTTACACAGGAAGAGGCAGGAAACTAGTGTCATCTCTGTGAGCCTTTTATACGCTTCCATGGCATTAGATGGTCACTATTTGTTCTTCTACACTTCTACTCATTTCGGGGAATGTGAGAAGAGCCCTGCTGAAACAGACCAATAGTCCTTCTGGTCCAGCATCCTGTCTCACACAGCGGCCAACCAGTTCCTCTCTAGCATTGCTCAGTTAGCCTAGGAGGTTTTCAGCATTTTTGCAGGGACTGGCAAAGGGTCTTTGTGGGTGATGGGTCACTTAGATGTGCATACTGATTCCTTCCCTGATGACCTGCAGAGTCTGGTTTGCTCAGTTCCTTTTCAAATTTCCTGTTGTGTTTTCATAAGAACATAAGAGCCATCTAGTCCGCCATCCTGTCTCACACAGTGGCCAACCAGTTCCTCTGGAGGGCCAGCAACAGGGCAGAGAGGCCAAGGCCTCCCCTGATAAGAGCATCAGAAGAGCCCTGCTGGATCAGACCAGTGGTCCATCTAGTCCAGCATCCTGTCTCCCACAGTGGCCAGCCAGTTCCTCTGGAGGGCCAGCAACAGGGCAGAGAGGCCGAGGCCTTCCCCTGATAAGAACATCAGAAGAGCCCTGCTGGATCAGAACAGGGGTCCATCTAGTCCAGCATCCTGTCTCACACAGTGGCCAGCCAGTTCCTCTGGAGGGCCAACGACAGGGCATAGAGGCCGAGGCCTTCACCCGATAAGAGCATCAGAAGAGCCCTGCTGGATAGTCAAACGATGTTATCTTTAGATTGTAATGATGAAAAACTGATATTGTTGATGATATGAAGTAATTTGGAGCAGGGGTGGAAGCATTGTGGGAAGCCATTGGAGGGAGGGGAGGAACTGGGAATGGGGTAGACAATTGAAAGAATGAAATGTTTTATATGTGAAGCAGCCCAGGGGTCCATCTAGTCCGCCATCCTGTCTCACACAGTGGCCAACCAGTTCCTCTGGAGGGCCAACGACAGGGCATAGAGGCCGAGGCCTTCACCCGATAAGAGCATCAGAAGAGCCCTGCTGGATCAGACCAGGGGTCCATCTAGTCCAGCATCCTGTCTCACACAGTGGCCAGCCAGTTCCTCTGGAGGGCCAGCAACAGGGCAGAGAGGCCAAGGCCTTCTCCCGATAAGAACACAAGAAGAGCCCTGCTGGATCAGACCAGTGAGGGTCCATCTAGTCCAGCCTCCTGTCTCACACAGTGGCCAATCAATTCCTCTGGAGGGCCAACAACAGGGCAGAGAGGCCGAGGCCTTCCTCTGATGTTGCCTCCTGGCTCTGGGAATCAGAGGATTAGTGCCTCTGGATGTGGAGGTTCCCCATAGTCACTATGGCTAGTAGCCACTGATAGACCTCCCCTCCGTGAATCTCTCTAACCCCCTTTTAAAGCTGTTTATTCCTGCGGCCATCACAACATCCTCTGGCAGCGAATTCCACATTTTAATCACTGGTAAGACCACAAGAAGGCTGCGTTTGACCAGAAAGAAACAGTTAGCAGCCATGTGGATCCCAAAGTAACCCCCCACCCAATCAGAACACAATCTCCACAATAGCTTTAATTAGGACCACTTGCCCAGATGGCTGAGGGGGGCTCATAAACTGGGCTGACGGTGCTTATCCATCCTGCCATGTCAACTTGCAGAAAACTGAGGCAGACATGATGCACCTCTGAAAGCGGAGGCCGCGCCTTTGAGCATCATATCTAGTAGCCACTGATGGACTTTTCCAGCTCATTTTTATTTACTTACTCGATTTATACCCTGCCTTGGTTTTCCTCACCTTGATTTTATTCTCACAAGAACCCTGTGAGGTAGGTTAAGCAGAGGACATCGGAGTGGCCCAAGAGTAGAGTGGGGATTTGAACCAGGGGTCTCCCAAATCGTAGTCCGACACTCTAACCACTACACCATAGACTATAAATAAAAAGTGCCGTGATTCACGGGCATCAGCAGTGCTTCCTGCCATTTGTTTTACACCCTACTGCCTACTGATGCCCATGAATTACGGCACTTTTATTTTTAATCCTCACTGCCAGACAAGCGATCCAACGACTTCCCGGTTGACAAGCCATTTCCAGCCTTCTTTCTCGAGAATCACTCAATATGTTGCGTACAACATTCATTGGAACCAATCTCCATTCTCCTAACCAAACATTCACACATGGGAAAATGGAGAATGGAGATTATATTGAGCGATTCTTGAGAATATTGAGTGATTCGAAAGAAAGAAAGAAAGAAAGAAAGAAAGAAAGAAAGAAAGAAAGAAAGAAAGAAAGAAAGAAAGAAAGAAAGAAAGAAAGAAAGAAAACAATATATTGAGTGATTCTTGAGAAAGAAGGCTGGAAACGGCTTGTCAACCGGGAAGTTGTTGATTATTTGTCCTACAGTGGTGGGACTGTTGAATCGTCTCTTCTATAGCAGCAAGCTCTGAGATAAAACACTACTTTCGGATTACGTTGCACAGAAACTAGCGATTGAGATAGGAGAATATTTGGACTGTTCCCCTTATATTCCTTGTCACTTTGATTATGTATTTGATTGCTTATATATGAATGTAAACACCTATAATATGATTATACTTATTTAATACATTACACACAATATATATTTTTATTAAACATTATTTGAATATATTGTATGCTTATGCACGGTGTTTTCGATTGGTCTGTACTCATTCCACTGTGGTCCCCCCCTTTTTGTTGTTCTTACCCTGAATCGGAGCCTCGGTCTCTCAAGGTCACCACTGTCAGACCGGCAGCAGGTCTCCCAGGTCGCGGGCGGAGGTCTTTCGCATCCCCTACTGCCAGCTCCTTTTAACTGGAGAGGCCGCGGACAGAACTTGGGACCTTCTGCATGTCACACAGACGCTCTACCACTGAGCCACAACCCCTCACCGACTTTGAATTTTAATTCACACCCACAGAACACAAAGTTATGTTGCCGGAGCCACTAGTCTGCGCACCCATCAGTTAATTAAACATGGATTTTTCCCCCCAGAAGCATCATGTGCTACTCTGTGCATTCAAAGAGCCAGTTTGGTGTAGTGGTTAAGTGCGCAGACTCTAATCTGGGAGAACCGGGTTTGATTCCCCACTCCTCCACTTGCAGCTGCTGGATGACCTTGGGCAAGCCGTAGTTCTTGAAAAAGGGCAGTTTCTGTCAAGAGCTCTCTCAGTCCCACCTACCTCACAGGATGTCTGTTGTGGGGAGGGGAAGGGAAAGGAGTTTGTAAGCCGCTCTGAGACACCTTTGGGTAGTGAAGGGCGGGATGTAAATAATCCTCCTCCTCCTCCTCCTCCTCCTCCTCCTCCTCCTCTAAGCCAAGGACATACATGACAACGAATGCACTTACAGGGCTCTTTTTGTAGCAGGTATTCATTTGCATATTAAGCGACACACCCCTCCTCCTCCTC